ATTATTCTCGAACTGCATTTTAATTTTTTTTAAAAAAATTTTAATATTTTAAAATTAGTAGGGGTAGCCCGAGATTAGAATATTTGAACCGATCATTCTCTTTTTTAAAAAAAAAAAAGAAAACAGCAGTGTGAAATCCCGAGACTGCTCTCTAATTTTTGAAAAAAATAGCGGCCCAAAATTAGAATCTCGAACCGATTGTTCTTTTTTTTTTTTTTTAAAAAAATGAGCGATTCAATTTTTTAAAGAAACAATGATTCGAGATCCCCATCCTAAGACCGCTCCTTATTTTTTGAAAATAATACGAGTCCGATAACCTCAGATCACTCATTCTCATTTAAAAAAAATAACCGCTCCAAAGTGTTTACTCGCTTCTTTTTTTTTATTTTTTTTGCAAAATGATAGCAATGAGAACCTCTCATTCTCGAACCGCTATTTAAAAGAGAGAGCAGTCCGAGACCATTTTTTTTTTTTTTTAAAAAAAAAAAAAAAAAAAAGAAGGATTGAACCGAATAAAGAGCAGTCCGAGACCATTTTTCTAAAAAAAGAGAGGAACAACGTTGGACTTTTCCAACTAAATAAAAAAAATAAAATAAAAAATGAAAATAAGAGCAAGAGGTAATTTTGTCAAAAAAAAAATAAATAATACATAAATAAATAAAAATTGTATTAACCGACATCACCTCATATGTAATATTTCTATACAAGAGGTATACCGTGTTTTCCTTGGGATAGATATATAATCCATACGTAATTAACTTCAAAAATTATAATAATGAGATGTGAGGAGAGAGGAAGAGGAAAAACTGTCCAATTCGGGACTCGAGAGAAAAGCGCAGCTCCAAAGCAAGCATGAAACAGTACGAGTTGAGTCAGAGAAAAGATAGAGTTTTGAGAGGAATTCAAAGAAGAATAACCCCACACCAGAAGCTCACAAAATAAAAAATAAAAAATAAAATAAAATAAAAAATAAAATAAAAATTCAAGACCCAACTAGAAACGGAGGAGAGAAACTACCCAAATGCTCTCGTCTGTTGCAGAGATAACCAACCCGGTAATTCACAGAGGACAGTAGAAGGCATTTCCCATTTTCACAGGGAAGAGCCACAAAAGGGGCAAAACTTGAACTCAGGCTCCACAAGTCGAGCACAAGAATGGCATCTCAGAACATCAGAGAGAACCCTCGAGTCAACGTCAGAATCTTCATTTTCCGGCAAGGGTATGAACCTTTCCGGCAATAAAAGGGAGCAATTATCACAGTAAACCGCCGGATTCTTTCCAGGCCATCTCCACACCGGAACGAAGAAGAGCTTCAGAACGTTTTCGTACTCCACAAGAGAAGCTCGTGATCCACACCTTATGCATCTGGTTATGCTTGGCTTGAGCACCTGCTTCACCTGTTGCTCCACCCCTCCCACAAAGAAGAAGAACATGGCTTCCAGGCAGTGAAAGGAGAGGTAAAGGTATTTTCCGGCCAAATATGGTCCGAAAATCACGTTAAAAAACCAGGAAATTTTATCTTCTGAAAATTTCTTGGCCAAATTTTTGTCGGAAAACGTTGCTGGGGTACTTCGGGATTGTTTTACGGGAACGATTCTGGTGGCGAAATGGGGTTTCGAATTCATATGACAAAGGAAAACTCAAAAGCGTAAACCCCAAATTTCTTCAGATTTAAGTAATGAATAGAGAACCCCAGAAAAGAGTTGCCGGGAAGATTCTGGAAAGATCTAGGTTTTCTATAAGTTTTCCGTATACGTGTGCGTTCTATTATGTGTATAGTACATACATTCTACACATGTTGCGGACATCACCGTCAAGTGAATGAGCGGATGGTAGAGATCAAGGTATGGTAGGTTATACATGGTGGTGGCAACGGGTCGGGTTAAATTTGGAATCATACGTAGACGTGTCAGGTATCCGGTCGAGTTAGATCTATTGTCACGTTGTGACTATAATGTTTATTATTATTATTTTTTGTTTTTTTTTTCGTTATATATATATTTTATTATTATAAGTTTTTTTTTTGGTCAATAATACTGTAACTGTTGTCAATGTTATGACAATATGATCACCTAACACATGACTAAAGACATATGATTGCTATCATATATACCCTATGACAACCCATACTGGTCGGGTCCAGTTGGACTCAGACCCAAACCCAAATAGTATTTGGGTCCAAAATTTGGACTCATACTTGGACCTAAGGTCGGCCCTACACGTCAAGTGGTCGGATCCATTTGCCACCCCTACTTATGCTTCTCTTAGTTGGTAATGACTTGGAATCGGATCAACGGTTTTTAATTTTATTTGGTAATGACTTGGAATTGTGGAAGTTGGATTCTCAATGGGAAGTAGTGTATTACTTTTGCCAAAAGCAAAATTTACTTCAATAAAAAAGTTTATATAGAGCCGAGGCAAAATTAGAGCCCATCTCAATAATTTCACTACAGGATGTTGTTTTGATGTTCACATATCCTCAAATTGATCATCACGATATAAAGATGCATGATCATCACGACATAACGATGCATAGATATGAAAAAAAATAAATTTTAAGTTTTAGAAATAATGCATCTAATATTTTGGACCGTCAATGTAGTATTTGTAAAGGACAAAAATGTTGTTAGTATGATTAAAGTGTTAAATTCTTCATATGTCGTGTTGGGCTTCCTCTTTTCATCACGTTCTTGTTGATTTATTTTTTGTCCCTCTCCCGGTCTCTCTATTGTCCGGAATTTCATTCTTCCTCACACAACCCCCAGTTTGGAGTCTAAATGACAAAAGTATTGACTTTTTGGTGTTAAAAATAAATGGTCATGTTGTATATTTGCCCTTTTAAAACAAACAATCACACAGGGTTAGGTCTGCATAACGTTGCAACCTTAAACAATCAAATAAGATGCACCTCCCCAGTTTGTCATAAGATCCAATTTTGGTGCTGAAAAATTTTAGGATGGTTTGAGAATCTATTTTCATATCTAATTAACAAATTTTAAACTGCAAAATTTGTTCAAATTAAGTAGATATATAAGCGCATGAAAATCTTGAAAATGAAGAGTCCGATAATGTGCTGCAAAATGTACTATTTTTTGGATAAAAGGCCTTTTTTCTCTTTTTTTTATATCTGAACATTTCAATATCGAGATGACCAATTAGATTGTCATCCAATATTAATCTAGTTTTATCGGATAGATTTTTGAGGTGCACCTTGATTCTACAATTTTATATAAACTTTTTCTATGAAGTGTTCTTTGAGCCCATATGTAATGGGACGCTTTCGCAATAACCATTTATCCGAAACATGCTTCAAAAACTGACTATTGTTATGAGAACATTTGTTTATCGTTAATTCGTGATTTAAGGAAAATGAATACACACCTACTTGATCCACCAAAGGTAACCTGTAGGGCATTTACCTAAGCCCACAAGCAGTTTTATCATAAAGATTATATTTATCATTAAAATAAGGGTATTTTTTTAGAGAGAGAAGATGTTAGATGATAACTACCTACCTTCCAGATTATAGATCACGTTTTTTGAGAGTTTTTAAGAGAAAGCCGAACGTTGAAGAATGGCATCTTTCGTTCCTCTATAACTAGGTCTTTCAAGGCCATGGAGAGGCATACACAGATAAGTTATTTTTGAGTTTTCATTTTTTCTGGAAAACCCTGACCTCTGAGGATATCAGAGCTAGTAATCCTGGGAGTTTTGGAAGCCATCTCTTCCCTCATAATCCGCTAATAATTATGGATATCAGAGCTAGTAATCCTGGGAGTTTTGGTGTCCATCTCTTCCCTCATAATCCGCTGGTAATACTTGGAGTTTTAGAGTCCATATCTTCCTTCATAATCCAACATTAGTATCAGAGCCAACTAAGAGATTGTTGTTGAGTGTGCTGCTGTAATTTTTACTATTCTCACTAAGATGCTTTACGGTTGCCTGGTTTTTTAGTCTCGCCTAAGCCGTGAGTCAATTCTTTATTTAATGAGAAAAAATAGAAACAGATGATATCAAAAGATTTTAGCTAATCTTACACAGATAAGAGAAAACCAATGGAACAATTATCCTAAAGATAATAACAAATGAATAAAGAATTGACTCACGGCTTAGGCAAGACTAAAAAACCAGGTAACCGTAAAGTATCTCAGTGTGAATCGTAAAAATTACAGCAGCACAACTATTAACTATTATACATTCTGTTGCTATTTTCTCTCATTAAACTATTATACCTTCTTCAAGAGTTAATAGGCGCACTTTGTAAACTTACACCATCTGCAAGAATAGACGCACTTTGTTAACTTATACCATCTGAATTTTGTTAATAGACGCACTCTGTAAATGGCGATATCTATTGCGCTAATTACGCAAAGGCAGAGAGAATCATATCATACTTTTTTTTTTTTGTCTCCACCTTTATTTCTGGCTCATCATCAAGGCAACAATTTTTTTTTTCTTTCAGTATTTTACAAATCTCTTAAATGCTCTGCTGCTTTTCAGCGTGTTGTTGTGTAACCCATATATTTTTTAAGGCGAACTGTTTCAATAAAAGTTGTCGACACGATAAAGTTCGGCTTAAAAACAAAATTGGTTTGCTCAAAGTACAACTTCATCGATCATTGATTTTTCATTGAAATCCTGTGAATTTCACTGAAATATTATATTAGTGCTTCTCTCTGTTAAACCATCTGGACTGCAAAAGTGTACATCTTCCCTTCCTTAATGAGTTGCAATTCAAAATAACGAGCCCTTTCTTTCTCTAAGTTATCCAATTTTTTTTTTTTTGGGGGTTTCTTTTCTCTCTCTAAACCTCTATATTTTTATATGCTTGGAATGTAATTTAGGGATATTTCTACATATTCTATTTGCATAATAATTATATCATTGCTTAGCATAATTATCTTATGCTTTGATCTCTTTAAGTAAGAAAATTTCATGATTTTGATTTTGTTAATTCATTTTTGTGATTATGCTATGCCATATTTTTGTTGAAAAATATTAAATATCATCGTAGACTCTCTCTAGAGCTAAAACATATTCATATATTTATCAAAATTAGTCTTATGCAAGAATTATATAAAGTAGATTGTTGCATTACTTTTTTATTTTCTTGCATCACTGCAGTGTGAACATAAACCTTTTAAGAGAATTTTTCATTGAAGTCACTGCTCGTACAAAGTCGGCAATTTATTGTTTTGACTAGCAGACAACCCTGTTCTTAAACACAATTAAATTTTTTAAACCTTTAGATATTATCTAAAATTTAAAATGGCATCTATGCTTGTCATGTCAGAACTATCAAAACTTGAAAAACTCAATGAAACCAATTTTTCTATGTAGAAAAGAAAAATTTAATATATTTTTTCCAAAATAGGGTAGATTATGTTCTAGATACATAACCACAAATTTTAGAGCCTAGTGCCAATGGTCAAGCCAGAAGGCGACTTAAAAAATAGTTAGAAGATGACAAAGTAGCTAGGACTACTATGTTGAGTTTTATAAAAAATGATTTAAGTAGAGTCTTTGAGGATCACACCACAACTCAAAGTATAATGGGTGCCTTACCTAAAAAATATGGGATCACTTCTGAGACCCATGTGCAATTGTTATTAGAAAAATACAATTCTTGCATTTCAGACTCCATGACCAAACATATCAATAATATGAAAGTGCTCGCAAAGGACCTTGCTGCAGCCAGGAATCCAGTCCTCGGCCGCATGCAAGTATCCATGGTCCTTAATGGTCTCCCTTCATCTTAGGAGCCTGTTGTAATTGCATTGAATCATTCTGTACAAGGAATAACCATGTTAAATCTTCCCATGCCTCTTAGTATTGAAGCTGAGAGAAGAATGAAGAAGAAGTCAAGTGAGATCTACTTTGCCCAAAGTTTATCTTCTCAGATCCCCAAGAAACCGTACAATAATAGGTATAAGGGAAATGAGAGAAATTTTAAAAATCAAAAGAATAAGGTTGAGAAGACCTATTTTTATTGTAAAAAAATTGCACACATCAAGTTTAATTATCCTAAGCTGAAAAACAAAATAGAAACCAGAATAACAACCCTGTTCGAAATAATCAAAATAAAAAAAATGACTTGATCGGCGTAGTCCTAGAATCAATAGTTACCGACCGACTTAAGAAATTGATGGGTCAACTCAGCCTCTACTCAACATGTCTCCAAGACCAAGGACAGATTCACATAATTGAGGGAAATTGCAGCCGGTAACCGTCGGATTTATATGCGAAATGACACCTATTGTGATGTACTAGGTGTCGGTACTTTTAACCTGTGTTTACCAAGAAGAACAAATCTCTTATTGACTGATACTTTGTGTGCGCCTAATATGATGTGCAATTTAATTTTTATCCCTAGGCTAGACGACAAGGGTTATGAAATAAGGTTCGGGTCTGGTCGAGTCACCATTGGGAAGCATTCTAGAGTATTAATGTATGGTACTAAAGTTGATAATTTGTGCCGATTGAATATTAATGAAAGTTCATCTCTTTTTGGTAATTTTGATGCCTCTTTTGATGCTTTTGTGTGTGTGGATGATTCATATTTATGGTACTTGAGATTATGATATATAAATAAAAATAAAATGAATCACATGGTTAAAAGAAGCTTGCTCCCCAATTTAGAAAAAATTGTGTTCAAAACATGCGAGCTCTGTATTTCTAGTAAACTAACTAAAAAGCTTTTCCCAAAAGAGAAAAGGTCTAGTGAACTACTTAGTATTGTTCACTTTGATGTATGTGGCCCATTAAATATAAAAACACATAGAGGTATGAAATATTTTATAACATTTATAGATGATTATTTACGTTATGGATATGTATACCTAATTAGTAAAAAATCATATGCTTTAGAAACATTTAAAGAATATAAAACTAAGGTAGAAAAACAGTTAGGTAGATATATTAAAATTCTTCAAACAGATAGGGGAGGTGAATATTGCTCTTCCTTATTTACTGAATTTTGTAAGGAGCATGATATAATTCGCCAAACAACCATTGCCATATACACCACAACAAAATGGTGTAGGCAAAAGAAGAAATAGAACTCTAATGGACATGGTTAGGTCTATGATGAGTCATTTAAACTTACCACCTATTTTTTAGGGTGAAGCTCTCAACACTGCAATGTATATTATTAATCGTGTTCCAACAAAATCTATAGACTTGACCTCATATGAATTATGAACAAGTAGGAAACCTGACATTACTATCTTAAAAGTTTGGGGTTCTTGGGCACATGTACTTATACCACCACAAAATAGGGATAAATTATAAAGTAAAACTATAAAATACTCATTCATAGGTTATTCAGAAAATTTTAAGTGCTATAGATACTATAACCATGAGACTAGATCCTTAGTAGAGAGTCGTGATGCTCATTTCTTAGAAAATATAGATGATAAAAATGTTTTAAGTAAGCCTATTGACTTACACGAAATTGATAAAGATAAGGGTCTCCAAGACCCTACTTGTCAGTCTCCCGCTACATTTTGTGAGAATGATTCAATTGAATCAAGTATACCAGATAGGCCTAAAAGAACTAGAGTACTACATTTTATGTGTTTATGAATGAAGATAATTATTCTTCAATGAATGCGAATTCAATAGATGAACTTCAAAGCTACAGTGAAACTATTAGCTCACATGACTCAACTGAGTGGACTCAAGCCATAGATGATGAACTTGATTCTATTAAAAGAAATCAAGTTTGGGAGTTGGTTGACCTCCCTAAAGATAGAAAAATCATCAGTTGCAAATGGGTCATAAAGAAAAAAATCCATACAAATGAATCCATTAATAAATATAAAGCTAGGTTGGTAGCTAAAAGGTTTACCCAAAGGGAGGGCATATATTATATAAAAACTTATTCTCCAGTAGCCAAATTTTCATCTATTAGGATCATCCTAACATTAATTGCATATTATGATATATAATTATTTCAGATGGATGTCAAAATGGTTTTATTAAATGGAGAATTAAAAGAAGATATATACGTGAAACAACCAGAAGGATATGCAATTAAAGACTAAGAAAACAAAGTCTACAAACTTACAAAATCTTTATATGGTCTAAAATAATCTTCTAGGCAATAGTACTTTACTTTTCATAATGCAATCACTAAAATTGGTTATATAGCCAATAGGTTAGACCATTGTGTATATGTCTGGAATAGTGGGAGCAATTTTGTTATATTATCATTATATGTAGATGATATTTTGATAGTTGATAATGATAGTGGCATGATTAATCATATCAAATCATGGCTAAATTCCCATTTTGAGATGAAAGATATAGAAAAAGCCTCATGTATTAGGCATTAAAATAACAAGAGATAGAAGTTTGAGACTTATATGATTATGTCAAGAAAATTATTTAGAACGTATTTTAAATATATTGAAGATGAAATATTGCAAGCCCATAGATATACCCGTTTGTAACGGCTTGAAATTGTTAAAGAAAATGTGGCAATTATATGATAGTGACAAAGCTGAAATGGAAAAAATTCCATATGCTCAAGCTGTAGGATGCATAAATTATGTCATGTTGTGCACAAGACCTGATTTGAATCATGCATATGGTCTTGTAAGTAGATTTCAGAGTAATATTAAGATGGCTCATTGAAAAGCCATAAAAAGGATACTCAGATATGTTCAGAACATAAAAAAGATACCCAGATACGTTCAGAAATTACAAGTTGCTCTTCCAAGCTGACAACTTAGAGGTTATTGGGTATTCTGATGCAGACTTTGCATGGGACCCAGATGATAGAAAATCAACCTCAAGATCTGTACTCCTCTTTGGAGGTGGATGTAGCAAGAAACAAGGTTGTATAACTCAATATACTATGGAAGCCGAGTATATTGTTTGTTGCATTGTTACAACTTATGTCGTCTAGATTAAACGCTTCATAAATGATTTGAAACTGGATATAGCTAACGAACATGTTAAATTTTTTTGTGATAATCAAACTGTTATTTCATCAATTACAAATGAAGCTTATAGTTCCAAAGGTAAGCACATTGAAATTGATTATCATTACATTTATGATATTATTGAAAACAATAAAATATCTGTAAGTTATTTTCCATCTTCAGATATGATTGCAGCCCCTTTAACAAAGGGATTGAGTGCAAAAATATTATCAAAGCATGTAGCTCTGATGGGGCTTAAAAATATTTAAGTTCGGAACTCCCAAATGGAATATTTATTTTGATGTCTTGATCATGAGAGGAAAAGCCGCATTAACATGAAAAACCCATGATATGATTTTGGATATTTTTTGTTATGAGATGTATAATCGTACTAGCGTGAAAAGCCTCATGATAAAGATATGCTCATAAATGTTAAACTCATTAAGTGGTATTATATCAATATATCTGGCCATCATGGCCAAGTGGGAGATGTTGGTAAATATTGGTGGCTATGAAACCCTCATGCATACTACTTTTTCTCTCTTTAATCTTTATCAATAAAATAAGGGCCTTTTTTTAGAGAGAATAGGTCATCATCTAACAGGTAGATGATAAATACCTACCTCCCAAGATCATGGACCACGTTTCTCGAAGTTTTCAGAAAAAAGCCAAACGTTGGAAAACAACCTCCTCTATCCCTCTATAACTAAGCCTTTCATGACCATGGGGAGACATACAAAGTTATCTTTTAGTTCTTATCGTTTTGGAAAACTCTGACCTCTGCGATCTTCAGTCTCACGACACTGCCAGTAATCCTGAGAGTTTTGAAGTCTATCTCTTCCTTCATAATCCAACAGTCGGAACATACTTACTTCAAAAGAAGAACAACAAAAAAAAGAAAGAAAGGATGGAAATATCATTCCATCAACCTTCTAATCAATGATTTAAAAAACAGATAAGTGAGCAGGACAAACATCACAATAATCGGTCCGAATTGGTAAGTCAACGATCTAGATCGCCATTCTACTGTGCCAAAAAAAAAGTGAATCTATGAAAACCACTTACAAAAATAGTGAATCGGCCAAACACCAATCCACATAAGTGAAACGACCTTTTTACTGTAGCAAAATGGTGTTTTTACTGTTGCGAAACATCGTTTCATCGTAGCAAATTGCCGACTCTCTTCTAGACCCGAATGATTTCCTACATATTGACACAATCGACATAAAATGACCGATTTCCAAGTCACACTAGGCGATTCCGTGCCGATCCGGCTTCTTTTAAATAGTTGCTTTTGATTATATATAGTTGATCAGGTGAGATCGGCTAAACCTTTTCTACATATCCGTTTGTAGACGAGCTAAAGCTGCACTTTGGGACATTTTGAAACTTCTCTATTGCCATAAACATCAAGACTCAAGAACACTACTCGAAAATGAAAACCAGGATACATGTGACATAGCCAATATAGAATTTTTCAGTCTGCATGGATCTGATATTTATTCGACATTATTACTTTCAAATTTCCGAAACTGGCATGGTTTGAAGCACATATATGTAAACACGCTATGGAGTTTGATCAATAGAAGAGGCAAACATGGATCACTTTCTGGAGATAATAATAGCAAGATAGTTATTTTTTTAAAAAAAAATAATAGCAAGTGACTGTATTTATGTACAATGTTTTCCCAAACAAAAGAAAGCCACAGTATATTGTTAGCTTTCAGACCTGCTGAGAACCCCATGTACGTTATGTCGATTCCAACTTGTAGAACATATCAAGTGTACTAGACTTATCTGCGCATCGACCGGAAGGCCTATGCTAGTGTATTGCGAGGTTCTGATGGCGTATCATTCTCCTCCTGTCTTGTTCTTACCGTCGAGTAATTCCACCTGAATATCCGTGCCCGACCTTCACTATCTTTCAAACTAACCCAAGACACACGCCATGACTGAAGCAAACTTTCTCTGCATCAAAGATATGTGTTAAGCATGAAAAGATATGCCCAGAAAACTACAACAGATTAGTTCAACTGCAACCAAAGAACCCAACTGCAACCAAAGAACCCAGTATGAAATCATCATTAATAAAACTGTCGATTATATTAATTTGAAAATCCAATTGTATGAATGCAATGATAAGTTGGAACTGCAAAGGAATGTACATGTAAGGCAGGAAATATCTATCCATATCAAATACATTGGCATGAAGCGGCAACATGGACTAAAATCCTCATCCTTGGTTCCATAATGAGCAGGTAAAATGACATGCCATGTGGGGAATGAGATATCAATATTCTAAAGAAAAAGAAATAAAAATAGATAATCTAAAGGGGAATGTCAAAAGCATAGCAGGTTCTACCTCTCTGGCTCGATAGACCTTTTTGCAAGCATAAGTGTCAAGAACACAGGTACCATGGCAGCAAAAAGATGCTTGAGTGTATGTCCACTGACAATATGATGTGTCCATTTGTAAATTAACTTGTCCTCCGCTTCTTCCACTTTAGCCAAAAGATAAAACCCTGTAATTATCAGAAAACTGAAAACGATTCAATAAGTGAGAGCAAAACAATACAAATTCAAAAACTCAAATAATATTTTCAACAATGGATCACAAGCACCACGACATACAGCGGCAACACTGATAGTCAACATCATAAATCAGATGCAATTAGTAGAAGGTATCATCTTAATTCTGTGAGTAATAAAAGCAATTAATAGAGAACAAGAAAATGATTCTTTCACTCATCAAAAAATAAAATATCCAACAGAAGGTGCAATATAAAATCAATTTTGTCTAACAGTTAACATTTCACTATCAATCAAAATTAAGGACTGAGTAATCTCAAGTATTTTTCTGATAAATATGATTTGAAGAGGATAAGATAGAAGAAACTGCACTACTTAGATTGGCACATTTTTCACACTTCCATTCAGGAGACCATAAATTTAACACCACAGAGGAAGCATCATTCAGTAGTCAGATTTTCCATTTTTTGCTTGAGTTTAGAACAGAGTTGCTTCATTCCACAGCTGATACCAGCTTGGTTACCAGGGTGTTGGTTTGGGTGGTGTGGCATGGATGGCTATGACCGCCGTGATATGTATGGAGCAAAGTAAATGTAGGCAGGCAGTCAAAGCAGGCCAAAGATGATAGCTTGAAATCATAGAATGTCTAATTGAAATAACAGAAGATGGGACTCAAGAGTTGAAACACCCATAAGCAATGGAAAGCGAGCAAGTTGGATTTGCAACTTTTACCTTTTTTTTTTCTGTTTTTGGAAAATGTTTTTGAGAAATGTTAACTGGTATTGAGTATAAGAAATGAGTTTAAAAAAATGACCCCTTGGTAGGGTCGTATGTCACCAAGAAGGTGAGTTAGATACTCGGTTTTTGGAAAATTTATCAAAAAGCACCCAAGAAAGATGAATTATTTAACATCTCCACCATTTCTTTTGATTAAATTTCAAAAAGCCCATTCAAGGATACATAATCATTAGCCAGAATAGTTGCACGGAAAAAAATAAACTGAATTTAACATCTCCACCATTTCTTTTCATTAATTTCAAAAAGCCCATTCAAGGATACATAATCATTAGCCAGAATAGTTGCACGGAAAAAAATAAACTGAACAGATGATGTAAAGAGCTCCATGATTATAAGAATAGAAAAAGAAAGTACTCCAGCAATAGGAAAAGAATTGTTGCTGTGGTAAACAGTAAACTCAGACTCAACTGTCAGAAAAATTTGTATATTACTGATGCAAACAACATAGCAAAACACTAAAAGTTTGTATTAAAGACACTAAAAGTCTCAGTAATTCATATGGCAGCCAAGGTATTTTTTTTTTACTTTGCTAGTTTGGGTTGTAAATTTGTAATCTATACTATTCTAAAATTGCTTTGAGATAAATGTGAACCCAAAATATCAATATGTTATTTTGTTAAAAGAACATGATCACTCCAACATGCATAACATTAAGGAATGAGGACAAAGCAACTTTTTTTTTTGTTTTATTGGTAGAGGAAAGCAAAATTGAGATTAAGAATTATTTTTCAAGAGCCGCAAGAGTATACAATCTGCAATAACTGTTCAAAGGTAATATGCAAATCTGAATGGCATTAGAACATTTGGTATTGTTTAGCCCTTTGAGTGACTTTGGAGTACATCTTGTACCCCAAATCATTGTACTCTACCGTTCTAGAAAAATACATACGAATGGGTCCAAACATCCCCCCCCCCCCCCACCAGCAACAACAACACACACAAAAAAAAAAAAAGGAAAATCGAATACCTGCTGCCCATAACCAGTACGCTGAGTGGGTATACATTGGTGGCATGACAATAGCCATTATTGGTATTGCAATACAAGGGACAAACTGGACAAGAGCGTATGGACGAAGATCGTCAAAGAATCTGCATGCAAAAGATTCACAAAAACTGATTATGGAGCATCAGCATGAAAACTTGTCTTTTAAGCCAAGAAGGAACTCTAATCAGATGAGCAAAATATTAGAAAGTAGCATGCTTGCCTCCAATACAAAATGCTTATTATACCCGCCATAAGCAGAGGAATGATGGATATAGTGCCAGTCTTTTCATCAATCCTTTCAATCATAAAAATTGCCATGATTGATGTGAATGCGATGGTCATCTGTGTTGGGCAAAATTGATTCACATGTCAAATATTAGCAACACAAAACATCTTAAATTGATGGTCATCTGTTTTGTCTTATAGAACTCCTCCCAAGTCAGAAAATTGCAATATATTTGTGAAATGGTTTGTATAAAGAAACGCAGAATGGATGGCAACACCAATCAGGAAGATCGCATCTTCAGTGAATTACGACTTCCTCTTTATATTGACATATAATGAACTCATACATAATAAAAAGACATGCCTGCAATATAAGATTCACTGTGTCCAACAAGAAGTTAAAAACTAAGCCAAAAGAAAACTAAGAAAGGGCACGAATGCAATAACTTATATGACTCTGATGTCTATTCAGCCCTGATCATCATACAATGATCAAAAGAAAGTTGAATAAACTCACCCGAACTATCTTCTCAAACGGAGTGCATCTGACTTACAGGTACAATAAACTAACATAAAGATGTAGGCTAAGGACAATGAAATTAATCTTCATGAAAAGAAATGACCTTGATGGTGGTTGCAGAAAACTCATAAGCACAAAAACTATTTTTGAGTTTCATGCATAAAGGTTTTTAAGACAATTATAATGGAAAATAACAATGGAATAGCATAGGAAGAACCTCACAGGTAACCGATCCCATACAAGTCGAGCATCATCAGGTTTGAGATGATAGTATGAAGAACCAAAAGCAACAGCTGCTACGCCAATAAAAAATATTGTCCATCCCCACAATTCCCCTTGCAATCTAGAAAAAAGAAAGAATAAATTGATCCAAATTCAGCAAATTTAAATTTGCTCCAACTCTACATGACTCTTAAGGAACATGCTATGCAGAGGATTACCTTAAATTGAAATAGTTTCCATGATAACAAATCACAAGCCCTACTATACCAACAAGAAGGAAAGGGAAGTTTGAAACAACATTCAATGTATTAGGTATTCCTGCAAAAATAATCATTAAAAACTTAATTAGGTAGTGAAGAAAACAGGCCTGCAGAGACGTTACTTTGAAAAGAACATAACCTAATAAGTGAATTTCTGGATGTTAGTCTCAATTGATATTGAATGCACACGATTACAATAAGTCACATTCAAATATCAATTATACAATGTTTCATGGTTAAACTGGACTACAAATTTCCATGAAAAACTACGAACTCACTGAGCTCACTAATCAAAACCACTGTGCCTGCCATCAATCTGAAATACAAGATGGCATATCACCAAACAGAAAGAGATTGCATTATTCATATCATACCCTAATTTCACTTGCAATGATACATCGAAGAAAAAAGATAGCATTGCCCCTCATTATTGTGGATGATTTTAAAACCAGGGTTCCCTGACCAATCAGGCTCAGGCATGTAACTCACTATAGTCAAGTCTGAGTATCCCTTAGTTGTGTGTACAAGTCAACGTACACAAAACAATTTAAAAAATTCAAAGAAATTGTTAAAAATATAGGAATAGTCAATAAATTTTTAGTACATGATTTGGGGTTTTTGGAAATGATTTCTGCGGGTTTTTTTGCCATAATCTCTATTTTTATATTTCCTTTTTTTGGAATTTTTAAAATCTTCCCATCCATAAATCACTTCTTTTTAGATCCATGTTCTCTAAACTTTTTTAAGCGTATTTAGACTTTCTAAGGTTGCTTTTAGTTTTATTTTACAGTCTAACCTTTATTTTATTTTTTCATATTTTTTATATCTTTTTTTTAGTTTTTCTAGGTTTTTTTCCCCCCCAATACAGGACTCGGGTGAGTCTCGTCCGAGTTACTCAAACCTTGCTTAAAAAGAGCACAGCAGCATTAGAAAAAAATTGAATCAGAAGCTCTTTCTTGATAAAGCAACTTATCCCACTTACTAATCTCATGTTTTGAAGGAGTTATAGGAGATTTTTATCATAGGTATGCTTAATAAATCAATCCAGACAATATAAAGCATATAAATCACTTTTATTTAGATCTTAAGAATCTGATATCATTTATGGTGTTCAGATCAACAAATTACAAACACTAGTAAACAAGCAGATAACCATGTGGAACGTGCTATTTAATATATGTTATTCGTCCTATGCTTTTAGTATGTAATTTCTATTTAGTTTTAGATTTGGTCTTTATAGAGGCATTCATGTACTTTGTACAACCCAGCCATCTGAACATAAGGATTACTCCCTAATTCTAATCTATGAGAAATCAGTCCAAATTTTATTGCTTTTAACATGGTACCAAAGCAAGTCTTGAATGAAAAACCCTAATCAATTTGAATCTGTAGTGAAAATCTTTCATGAAAGTTTTTCAAAAATGTAATGAAAATCAATCCGGCATACAAAAATAGGTTAATGCTCTATAGGAAATCAATCTTTGAGTTTGGATAAAAAACATCTAATCTGTTTACAGTTCAAAACCTTAATTTGTCATCAGAAGCACTGTAGCATGCTTAGTGATCACTGTAGCCATGTTCTAGCAATCACTATAGCAGCACCATATCAATTACTGTAGCAGTGCCGTCAAATGTTGATACATTTCCATATAATAAGAGGTTCATATTTGTTCAATAAATGAAATTTTAAAAATCATATCCAATCCATAGTAGGACCAACCAACAAGATGGATGGTTCACATCACCAAAAAATGGTTGAATTTTCCATTATGGTGCATTTTAATTATTCATGTTCTTTATTGGTAATATGGGGACATGGTACTACAATTTCCCATCAATCTTTGCACTCATGGTAGAGAGTAACAGCTGAAACTTCTACACAAATTTAGACATCAATAAGAAAAGGTATTCTCTAATACGTACCCCGATACAATTTCAAATGATAGCAGTGTTCAAAACAGGCAGAGGCAGCTGCCTAAGCGGCCAGGGGTCCGGACCACCTAGGCCATTCTCACAAATTCCAGAGACATTTTCGTAATTTTAAATATATAAAGGCCATTCTCACAAATGCCAGTTATTAGATCACAATTTTAAAGGAATGGATAAATTATAGACAATTACTCTGAAATATCAAAAAAAAAGAAAAAATAAACTTATACCCATGACAAATGAATCCAATGTTATATTACTCATTAAACAAAAGAACTGGAAACTACGTTTCGCCCATTAGCTTTGTAATTTCGAACATCTAATCTACAATAACCTATAAAGTGCAGCATTCATCTCATCCCTATAATATAGGTTTCATTTTCAAAGCTTCAGCCACTAAAGAATATTCAAAAACACACTTACAAAAACCACATACACAACTAATTTCACTTACCCATTTGAACTCTAATTGAACCAGACCAAAATTCCACTATAAAATAATCTCTAAACAATAAGGCAAGCCAACCTAAAAGAAACAAAACCAAAACTTGTGATAAACATAACTGGAAATCAATATGTTTTTTCATATGAGTAACCAAGAAACAAAACCAAAAATTGTGATAAACATAACTGGAAATCAATATGGTTTTTCATATGAATAACCAGAAACCAATATAATCGAAAACCATGAAAATCAACATCCTTCAATGACAAGTAACAAATTCAGAATCACGCAAAGAACCATAGAACCTAATTGATTCCCCATAGGTTTAAAAACAGTAACTGCATGTAAGAATCACAGAGGGTGGGGGGGGGGAAGAGAGAGTACCGAAAAATTCTCTTTGATCAGCGAAATTGTGGTATTCTTGGGATTGGGGGATGGAGGGGGTGACGACCATCAAAACTACAAAGCAGAATATGGCACCTCCCCATACATACACCCTCCGATACTCCATCTCTCTCTCCTCTCGAGTTCGAAATCTCTCACTTTTTCTCTCTCTAAATCAAAGAGTGCATAAGAGAGATTCTGAGAAATTATATGGTTTGAGCAGAAGCACAAAATTAAAAATGTGTTAAATGATTTACTGTTCAGGCGAGAGCATACTGTGAACATGCTCCCTCGTGTTAACAATATCGAGATAAATTACAATCAATTCTTAACAAGAATTCAAAATAAGAAAATAGTGAAGATATGATCAAAGATATCTTCTAGAATTTTTCTTCATAGTCAAAGATATAATCAAATACCTCTCGATTCAAGCTGATCATACCATTCGGTTGAAGGGTCAGCTTGTCTCATAAAGAAAAAAATCTGGTAGGAGGTAGCCCCTTGGTGAAAATATAAGCGATTTGTACAAAACTGGGAATAAAGCAACATGTTCATGTATGAAATGGTTATCGACTTTGATGTGCTTAACGCGTGAAAGTGCTGATTAATGTAATCTTTTGTCGGGGAATTTTTTTTTCAATAATAATACCGTTTACTATGCTTGAAAATATAAATACTAATCTACAAAATAAAATTGGAGAGTTCCAGATATTATTTCAACTAGACTTATTACATCCCATATCGAGTCACCACCATCCGATGGCGTCGGATCGACAGTCTCCTTTCAATCTCAACCGGAAAAGTTGATTTCGGCCAAACACAATAGAAACTCTTCAATGGGACCCTTATGCTCACCCAGAACGCTTCAGAATTTTCAATAAGAATACCGTTTACTATGCTTGAAAATATAAATACTAATCTACAAAATAAAATTGGAGAGTTCTAGATATTATCTCAACCGGACTTATTACATCCCATATCGAGTCACTATCAACCGATGGAGCGGGATCGACAGTCTCCTTTCAATCTCAACCGAAAAAATTAATTTCGGCCAAACACAATGAAAGCTCTTCAATGGGACCCTTATGCTCACCCAAAACTCTTTAGAATCAATCCCCTAAAACATTACTTCAAGAAAAAAATTCTCCATTCTAATTTTTCAAGGCCCATCCCCCAAAAAATTACTTCAACAAAAAATTCTCCCTTCTAATTTTTCAAAACCCAAAACTATGAGAAGAAGTGTGTCCTTGAATAGGGCGTGGCCCCCTTTCCTAAGAGAGGAGAAAAATATACGTGGTAGAGAGAGGAGGGGATAAACCCACATGAGGAGGATAAAGTACAAGAGAGAGAGAGAGTATAGGATGAAGTAAAGCAATGACATGAGGAGAAAGTTTTGTAATGATGACGTAAAGGAGTGAAAAAAAACGTAGAGAGAGAAAATGAGATAAATAGGAAGTTGGGTGAGTTACGTAAAAATAAAAGATAGAGAGTGAAAAGATATATAATATTAGGTTTAGATTTTCATTGTTTGCTTCACAAGATTGAATTTTTAACCGTTGGATGACTTATGGGGTGCGAGATTTAAACTATTCATTTCATAGGTGGGCTCTCAATATTACGGATGTGCCGAACCATTATCTCATTTTCCTTTGACCATTATCCCATCAAATAAAAATTAAGTAATTAAAATATTATGTTTATCTAAAATATATTCATAAACCTTATCAAACGTTCTATAAAATTTTATTCAAATCTCTTAAAGATAAAATATTTTATCAACTCAAATCAAATTGAGATAAAATATCAACAAATTCCATAAATAGGTGACTTGTCACCAAAGACAGGGACTTATGGGGGTCACCTTCAAGAATATGGTGGACCCACGTGCACAATGGGCCCCCATAAAATTTCATATATTTAAAAATAAATTTTAGAATATGATTTGAATTTTTAAAGTATTAAAAAAATAATATCTTTATTTTTCTAAATCCTAATTTTATAAATAAAATATCTAGGTATTTATAAAAATTCAAATATCAATTCTAAAATAATATCTATCATAAAAGAAAGATAATTAAATTAATTTGATAGGAAAATGATCTATATGGTCAGAATCAAATCAATAATGGGGCACTCTACCTTCAACTGTGAACTACAAACCAGTGTTGCCCATGACCCACACTTCAAACAGGGCCTCATTAGCAGGTCACTAAAGTCTGGTAGATGAGCCAAGGGGTCGCAATCCCAGTATGTGGATTTCAGACTCTCCTTTAGATACGAGTCAATATCACCAAAATCTGATGCGACGACAATTGAATGACGTATAAGGGTATCTCTCGCACATACATATGTTTCACCCTAAAGGTGGCTTGCTTGTTTTTCCGAACGGTCTATCAACATGCATATCGTGTGATGGTACATAAATATGAGGCTTTGGCCCCCATCTCTGTAGGCCACCATCACACATAAGGGTTACACAGTCCCTCGGCTCACTCATCTAGGCATATTCTTCGACCTCATCAAGGGATAACCCACTAGAACTTCACTATGCATAGGTAACATAGATTTTTTCCAACCGACTAGCCTAGATCGACAAGCACAGTCATGTATCTGCAAACATCATTTGCATAGTATGGTCCACGAGAGACCACACTCCCACTGAGTTCAAGATGCACTATATCAACTATTTTGTTACAATCGCTCATAAGGCCTTTAAATGCCACATATATCCAATATCTCCCACTTGGTCTTTGAAGCCATTACACTCTTTCTTCCTCACTTTCTCTCATCCCCATCTCTCTCACATGTCTCACAAACATATTAGGGGCAACCTTCTTAGTTAGAGGACATGCAATCATCAGATTAGTGGGTATGCAGCTAATCTCGATCTCTTTCAGTCTCACCTCAATGCTCAAGTAATAGAAATATGGTTTGATGTGCTTGGAGTTCTTGTGAAATCGTGGCTCCTTAGATACACAAATTGTCGTTGTGTTGTCACAGAAAATACGCATTGCCTTACAACTTATGGGATGAAAGCTGAGCTGATTAAGAAATTTCTTAATCCATACGACCTCCATGGTCGCAAAATAGCACGTCATGTATTCAGCTTCCATGGTGGATAACGCCACTATATCATGTTTCTTTGACTTCCAATAAACCGCACTCCCTCTAAACATAAACAAATATCTTGACGTACACTTCGCATCATCCGGATCTGCAAGATAGCTGGGATCTGAATATCCTTTTATTGCTTTTTCAGCTCCCTCTTTATATGTGAGCACATAGTTCATGATCCTTTTTAAGAACCTGATGATTCTCTTAACGGCTTTTCAATGTTCCCCTTTGGGATTGCTTTGGAATCGACTAATCAAGCTCATGAAGAAAGACAAGTTGGGCCTTGTTCCCATCATAACATACTTAAGAGACCCAACTGCGCTCATATAAGGTACTCTCTCTATAACTCTTTTATCAACTTCTTCGGTAGGACACATTTTATTACTGAGCGTTATCTGTTTTTCTATTTGAATAGATATAGGCTTACACTTATTCATATCAAATTTTTCTTGTATCTTCTTATAGTAGGTTGCTTGGGAAAGTTGGATAGTCGTCTTGTTTCTATTTCTTATTATCTTGATGCCCAACACATAAGAAGCTTCGCCAAGATCCTTCATGTCGAAATGTTGTGCAAGAAAACTTGAGCAATCGAGCTACTGACAATTAGCATGTCATCTATATATAATGAGATAAAAACAACATCATTCCTACTAACCTCTTGATAGATACAGTAGTCTTCATTATTTGTAGAGAACCTTGCAAGAGCAAGGGTCTCTTGAAATTTTATGTACCACTGTCGTGATGCTTGTTTTAGACCATAGAGGGATTTATTAAACTTACACACCAGATTCTCCTTTCTTTTTTCCTCAAATCCCTCAGGTTGAGTCATGCAAATCTCTTCTTCCAAGTCACCATACAGAAAAGTTGTTTTGACATTCATCTGATGAACCTCAAAATCAAAATGGGCTGCTATGGCTATCAAGATTCGGATAGATGGGAATTTGGCAACATGAGAAAAAATTTCTTCATAATCTATCCTTTCTTTTTTGGTAAGCCCCTTTTGTAATCAACCCAGCTTTATATTTTTCTATTTTCCCTTCTGAGTTCAACTTTTTCTTGAAAATCCACTTACATGCAATGGCCTTACATTTCCAAGGTAGAGGTATTAATTTCCATACATGGTTTTAGTTAATAGAAGCATATTTATCTTTCATGGCTTCCACCTAGTATTTCCTTTCAGAATAGGACAATACTTCATGGTAGGTTTTAGGTTCAGAATCTGGATCTTACCCATTTCTATTAAATTGTTCTCCCAGGTAAACAAATTGTTTTATGTAAAGAGGAGGTCTACTGATTCGGTTACTTCGTCTGAAATCAAGTTCAGGTCCATTTTGTTTTGATGGTTCGGTTTCAAGGTCAAGTCTATTGTAAGTTTCAGGTTCGGGTTCTTGAAGCACAACCTTGTTTCTTGCCTCTTCAAAGAAGTCAGCTTATTTGTTACTCAATCTTGCTTCAAGGAATTCTTCCTTGAAGAAGTGACCATCACTACTCTCAATGACCACCACTGTTTCAAGGCTATGGAATCGATACCCCTTACCATGGCTTCTCCCCAAAAATCTAGGGAAAGTCTAGGGAAAGTCCTATTCTGTCTCTCGGCAATACCATTTTGTTCGGGAGTATAAGGCATAATGTACTGGTATATAATTTCGTATTCAGCACAGAGTTCTTTAAAAAGTTCAGATGAATATTCTCCCCCTCTATCAATTCTAACGACTTTGATTTTCAGGTTGGTTTGATTTTCTACTTCAGCTTTGTATATTTTGAATTTTTCTAAGGCTTCAGAATTGGTGTGGATAAGATATACATGGCCATATCGTGAGTGATCATCTATAAAAGTGATGAAATATTTATTGTTACTTTTAGTTGCCACATTCATAAGTTCACATATGTCACTATGAATGACTACTAAAATGTCAGTAGCTCTTTTTTTCCCCGGTAGTATTTTTTCTTATTAGTTTTTCTTGCACACAAGACTCACACACTTTTGATAAATCGCCCTTATAATTTTGTAGAAGGCCCTCATTTTTCAATCTTTCCATTCTTTTAAAATTAATGTGTCATAACCTCTTATG